GGGGGGGGGGGGGGGGGGGGGGGGGGGGGGGGGGGGGGGGGGGGGGGGGGGGGGGGGGGGGGGGGGGGGGGTGCGCTCGGTGCATGCCTCTCGTCAGCTGCCTCCTCTTGGTTTGCTTTGTTGCCTGAATTTCGTGCTCGCTCGGGAGGTGTGCTGCGGACCGACGCGAGGAGATTGAGGGATCGTTAGGATTTTTCCCCGCGATGAAAAAAAATAGTGTACCTGGGCGTGGTGTGATTCTGTTGGCCGCGTGTTTTGTGTCTCGACACACGGTCCGTGACGCTTGTCCACACGAGATTCGTGCGGGCCTGCTTGTTGACTGGTAATCCGCGCAGGCACGGCACGGCACGGGACGGCAGCAGCAATAGCAAGAGAGTCGAGAGAGAAAAGACAGAAAGAAAACATGCGGGAGAGGGCAACCCCCGGATTTTCAATTCTTCTGCCGCCGTATCATACATGGGTTAGGAGAGTTTTCGCCGTAGGCGCTTGCAATCCCGGTGAACCAGTCGGGCTCACAAGAATTTGTGCCTCGCTGCTGTTGTGACCCGGCCCGATCCAATCAGGCCGCGTTTTATTCCAAGACGGATATCCGCATGTGCATTTAGCGATTATGTGTTTTTTTGAGAAGCGCACTTGGTTGCGAGAGGCCACAAGCCATTTGAAATCCCGTCACCGCTAGCTGTGCGTTAATAGTGGCGCTGTTCGACAAGAACAGGGCATGAGAGGGCGGGGAGGGGGGGAGGAACGTGCTTGTCGTTTCCCCGGCATCATCGTGGATGTGTTATTCGTGGCGACTGCTGTTGTCGTTTCCCCGGCATGGTCGTGGATGTGTTATTCGTGGCGACTGCTGTTGTCGGCGTGGTGGTCGTCGGTAGTGATGGTAGTGGTAGTTTCTCGTCGGTGGTGCTTCGGGCGTGATCGTGATGTGGTTGCTTTCGTTTCCGTTGTCTACGATCTACGACTACGACGGACGATTAGGCGCAATGTCGTGTTGGATGTCTTTCGTTGAGGGAGGCCATCCGGCCGAGAATAAAAGGAGCGAGAGAGCGATGAGCTGCCGTTGCGTTGTTTCTTGTTTGTTGTGTTCTCTTATCTGCCTTCGTGCGTCGCTATTACCGTTAACTATGCCTAGCCTGTTGTATATTTATATATATATATATTTTTTACCTCGCCCGTTGTATCGAGTATATATTTTTTTTGTGAGAAGAGATATTTACCCCATGGCGATTAGGGGAGTGCGGCGGGCCATATTGGCTCCTCTCTTGCTCTCATCTCCTGCGGTACCCTGCTTTCTGCTTTCCGAAACGTTCCGACGCTCCCGTCATTCTGTCCGATTTGTTTGGGTGGCGCGTAGGTATTTAGCTTGCTGGTCGTCGGTGTGGTCACAGCAAGCAGTCTTTGCACCCCACCTGTAGATCGCACGGCCTTGCGGAGGTCCTCGACACCTATCTATGCCGCTTTCGTGGGCAACACCCACCACCACCGCCGATCAGGGCGACATGTTGTGTTTCTCCGACGACCTGCACCCCTTGAGAGAATGCTTTTTTTGTCTTGCCCACTCTCCCCCGATCGGGGTGATATTCAGCAAGCGTCTGATCGAGATCGATTTTTGCTCCAATCGGTTCTCACCCTCCGTTGGTTCCTCTCGCGTCACCCACGGACCGAACCTTCCTCGACGACTCGATGCACGCACACGCCTGCAGAGGACAACGGCATATTGCAACGGGATAGATACGACCACACCGCGGTACGAGTCTACAAATCCTACCTACAGGAAACGTGAACAAAATAAACAAACTTCTTGTCCCCGTTCGCTCATTCACTCAACGGTTCACGCAGCAAGGAAAGAATAGGGTGAGAAAGAAAACGAAGCAGAGACATGTAACGTTCGGGGGACGTAAAAGAACGGTGTGCAAATAGAGAGCTGCGGAGAGCGCACGCAGCACACCCACACCGTACACGGAGTTGCCGTCTGTCTGCGTTGACTTGCATGCACCTCGCTAGCCCAGTGTCGCTCGCGAGCAAGTAAACCTTGAATGATTATGATTTCCTCGCCCTTACTACTGTCTCTAGTCTACATGCTTTTGTACTTGTCCGAGTCTCTTCTCTTTTTTGTACGTCGTGCTCCATAGACCTGGGTACCTCCATCTCCTCTCTACTACTTCGAATCCCACCTACAAAATACCCCAGGAATGCCGGTGAAAGGTGCCGTTGCCACCGCCAGAAAGGTTCTTGCATTTTTCACTGTCTGCTACCCGTCCACTTCCGTTCTTCTCGCACTCGTTGATTGGACGACCTCTGACTTCAACTCTAGCTACAGTCTTGTCGCCGATGCGGCACTAGTCTGCCGAGGGCCGGGCTGAATCCTCCCACATCGACTACCCCTTCCCCTCTTCCTAGGACGGCACCCTAACGGCGCTAGACTGTCGATACGAGTACCACCTAGGCCCGCCCTCGGCGACCCTCCTGCCCCCGTGAACCGTGAGCTTTTCCGACAGCAGGAGCGACGGCACCCTTCCCTCCGCAGCGAAGCCGTTGAACACCGACGACGATGGTGGTGGCGCCTTCGTCAACGGTAGCAACACGAACGGGACCGAGTTAGGGGACGTTGCGGGGGG